AATACTGCAACTCCCTGTGTGTGAATTGCCTGTTTTTGCTATTGTCTCTGATGATGGATCCGCGACGGAGTTTGAAACGTCAGGCGAATAAAATTCTTCTTCTAGCGATACTATTTGCTTCTTCTCAATTACTTCCTGGGACTCACATTTTCGCTCGTACTTGTAATCTTATGATGGGTGAGGGCTGGAGCCGACACTGACTGCTGCAATATGGGAGGTCGGCATTAATTTTCAAATAATTACGAAGTAATTTTGACAAAGTTTCTTATTTGCAGTTTCAAAAGTTCAGAACTAACTTATTAGGTTTCTCAGAAATTAATTTTTGAACTTCGAATAGATCAGTACCTTCAATGTCTACAGGCACATACCGAATTATGATGGCCAACGTCCCTTAGCCACTGCGGGATAACTGTGTAATATTCGTGAGCTGCCAACGAGCATTCCGCTGTATAACTTAGCTAGCTAGTACTTTCACAGCCAGTACGGCAAATAATTCCATAGTTTATACTACTGTCTGCCTACTGGCAGTATGTGCATAGTACGCGGTTAACCCACAGAGGCTGACAAACTGCGTCCCAAATATTTACAGTGGATTTCGGTCTGGGTCTGTAGACCCTGCATATACTGATCGACTCCCATTTCGAGAACTAATTTCTGAGGAAAGTAAAAAGTTACAATGTAAAAACTGAAGTATCTACCAGAAACCACACAAGAAATGCCGGAAGACTCACTAATGAGCCGAACCCCTCGCAGCTGTGCCATACAGCGGTAGGATATCGACGAAGCACGTGCCTACCAGTGTGGTAAATAACTAGACACTTCAAAACATATAGCTTTCCATAACAGGTGCTAAAGGTGAAAACGGTTCCTGCATCCCGCGGGGAAGCTATTAGGGAAAACTTTTAACGTACCCGAAACCATAAGTAGGGATACATCCAACCGAAAGAAACAAAGAGCATGAAGGTAAGCAGTGCCCTTCGACGGCCCGGAGGTCCCAGAAGGAGGTTCCTAAAAGTGGATAAAAAACGATGACCACGCTCTACTTTGCTGCTTGTTTGCTAAGTCGTCTCGCGTGATGCTAAATTTTCGAGCTTATCAGGTTTAATTCTCCACTGCTGATTTGTCTTGACCAAAAGAGTCAGAAACAAGTGTGCATTGGACTACAGGCAGACGTAAGACGACGTAAAATAAAAATAGATATTTCATTCATGGCAAGGCTAAACAGTAGAGCTGAATAGGTTGGGGAACATAAAAGAAAGCGCAGTTTCTTTCTTAAAAATCAGGAAAACACTTTAATGACGGAAGTTATTATTTTTAGTAAGTCTAATATATCACACTGACGTTTTTGATGCAAGCCACGAAAGTATGACAATCACCTTCAATAAAAACTATCAACTTTAGATAACGCACCGCAGTTCGAAGATCCTTGAAGATCGTTCTGAAGGCACATTTTTTCCAGCCTGATGCCTGTGTTTATAATAGCGTACTAATTCTGCTAGTTCATAGTATCCGCAGCAAGCTGCCATGTCTTCAGCACTGCTTCCCTCATTATTCCGAACACCCAAGGAAACATCGTAGGGATGCATAAACAGTTCAAGGCTCTGACAGTCAGTTCTCAAACGGAAGCTGAGGAAGGATCTAAAAATGCTGTGAAGCATTGCCGAGGTGCTTGCAAATTTGCCTTTGCAACAGGATAAATGAAGCGGTGTGTTGCCTCGCCCATCTTGAATTGAAATTGCTGGCGGATAAAAGCGGAGAAGGAGACTGCAAAGGTTCGCATTACCTTTCGTAGAAGAACATAAACGGCCAAATTGCATGAGTATGAGCGCTTTGTTTAAAACTTAGTTGAACATCTGGTAAATAGATTAGGAATATACCGGGTACAAATGTCTCCCAGAAGCTGTTCGCAAGTCCTTCAACATATTCTTATCGATCGTCATATAATACAAAGGAAAGTGCTGGCAGTTTGAAGCAAACATATTTTATATGATCATAGACCCTGTTCATAGAACAACAAGATGAAATAATATTTTGGTACTATTTTAAAAGAAATGCGATAATTTTTAAGAAAGGTTATCAGAATGAGAAACAACACGCATAAACTCATAATTTTAAACCTTGGAAACGAAAACAGCCAATTACGTAGCCAACGAGATGACATGTTAACTCGCTCTGAAGTCGAAAAATTGAAATCTATTACAATACTGGCTAAAGCAAGTATAGGTATGATAAAAACCAAAAAAACTAAAATTGGAAACAAATATACCTGAAGAAGCTGCGAAATGCAGAGGACTACACTGGCGAAAATCTAGCGCAGCGGCATCCGCTTCATTTAACAAAAGAATGAGTGAGGATTCCGAATCCCCAGCTTTGGCAGCTTTAAAAAACAGCGAAAGTTCAGGAGATAAAAAGTGTGACAGAAGTAGAAAATATCGGCTGAAATTCGATCAAACTAATCGTCTGGATTGAAGCCGCCACACAGCATTTAAGTTCATTTACTTCTTGTGGGAAAAACACGCTGATACGGCTGCAACAATGAATACGTTATTTCAGCATTTAAGATACCACCGACTAGATCAACCGTAGCTTAAAAAACTTAAATTTCGACGAAATGAACAATGAAGTATGACACTACGCAGTGGGGTTCCTTAAGGGTTTGTAGGACGCTCATTTTGCGATCGACGCGTAGGAGTCAGTTTCATATTACTGCCCTCAACACTAAGACCCTTAAACGTGTCGTGTGTAAAGGTAATACCTACAGAAAAGGAACCTTATTTATGGCAACTACCCAGATTTTATGATTAAATCTCAAAAAAATATGAAGAAGTTCGATAAAAGTCTTATAAATTTATAACAGTACTTAGTCGAATGCCTGAAGAACAATTAATTCAAGGGTCGAACATTTCCGCTGTCGAGAAGAGCAGAGCATTCAACGCAATACCATATAAGTGCAGAAACCTGTGCAGACCAGAATTTTCCATGCGAAATTTTTCTTGAATTCATAAAAAAATAAGATTTCTTCTTTCTATCACAATTATTTTTTTTGATATAAGAAAAAAAACTACTGACTGAATTGACTCGGCGACCTGGGCCGTGAATGTGTTCAGAGCCACGCAACTAGTCTCATCATAGGATCTGGAGTTTTGTCATATACTAAGTCGTTCTGCATGCCATTGAATAATAAACACTATTCGTAATAATAAATGATAACATAATTCTTTTATGTGTTAATATTTTGAGAGCCTAAATTATTGATGCTGACACAACTGTAAATTTTGTTCGACATTCATCTCTTCCGTTTGTGGGTTTTAAATGAAATTGTTGAAGTGTTGCTGGACTTTGCTACTGCAAATTGTCCCACTTCCTATCTTTAGAAGCTGATAGTTTGAAACATGCGTATTCCACCTTAGGTAGAACACTCAAGAGAGTACCGCAGCAATTGTAGGACGTGTCCGTGAATGTATGAACGTGAAAGGAACATATGTACTTTTGGAAAAATAACTCGTAAACATTTGAAAGAATAGTTAAATATGTGGAAATATGTAGTCTATAGATGGGTACATGCAGTATGGGCAGGAAAATTAGCATTATACAAAACTCACTGTCGCTTATGTTTTAAAATTCTTCCATCAGAAGAACACAAAAGGGACTTTATCTTAAAAATCGAGAAATGCCGCATGCAGGTATTATGAGCGTAGTTGGAATCGGTGATACAGATGTCGTACTTTGCAGCATAGCATCCACGTGGCCCCAACTATCTAACACCCATTATGATACAGTCAAAGGAAATTTAGCCCTATGCTTTTGGTCTAAAATAACAACACAAATAAAATATTTCAGAACTAAGTTAGGTTGTAGGTACAGTAACCAGAATATTTCCAGGCTTAGACGTGTTACGTAATGGACAGGCCAATCCAAAATGTCTAATCGTAATTATGATAGTGGGGATCATCTTTTGCAGAAGAACCTAGGTTTGCATCAAGCTGGGACCACAGTTTTCATGAAGTGGACCGAAATATAGCAACACAAATTGGATGGAGAGAAAGAGCATACGCATAATAGGACCGCGTTGAGCCTTTGGCAAACTAATTCAGACTACGGAAAATGGAATCGGTTCTTTCATTGCAGTTATAACGTTAAATGAAACTAGACTAAGAACTTTTCAGTAAAATATATTTTACAGAAAAAGCTCTTACGTTAAACATATATCTTTAACGTGGTTATTCGAATAAAAATTTAATTTGAATCAGTCAAATCTAAAAGCTGAAATATCAATTTACCGTAATGCAGTGGTGTGCATAAATCACCATCTACTGAGCTGACGTTCCCCACCGCTTTCAACAAGATAATGGTGGCTTCAAAGCTCCTATGCGAGCACGCAACGTGAATTGGTTTTTGGCCCAAAAAGTTAAGTATCTCGCTATTAATTTTTAAGTTTTCCAGGTATATTAGAGCTTCCAATGAATTCCACCGGCAAGACCAGTGTAAAATTGTATTTCCATGTGAATCAGCTGCTTGAATTATTTGGGGTTCTTCATCAAGCAAGCGTGTTACAGTTTTTGAGTCTCTTAGGGTATAATAGGATGCGTATTAGGCTACCCGTATTTTATGGCTCTGAAGAGTCTTGCAGTTTTCAGATTCCAGTTAGATGGCACCAAACCAAATTTAACATTGGACTCCACTGGACGCAGAAACATGAGATTTCGCGAGCAAGCCTCTGTATTGGGAGGCGGTTAACACAGCATAATCACTCTTCCTTAGTGTAGGACGACAAACTGGGGAAAATTAATTCGTATTTATGTATATGTGGATAGGGGAAATAAAAAGTAACAAAAAGGGTTAACGGAGGGAAGACAGAAGAAGGGAAATATTATGTTTAAATCATTTATTTATAGATCTCAGTTGCGAAATGAGTTCTACATATTTTTAAAGCACACGAAAAAGCCTGCAAACACACAGCGCTTTCATATTTTTTGATGGTGGTTAGCGAGAATTAGCTCGTTAGGCTTTCTGTTCTCTCGAACGGGGAAATTTTTGTAATCTTTATTTCAACATATATCCCTGGCTTTCCCAATTTCAGTTCGCCTTAACATTTGCACAATGTATGCAATGTAAGTAGATCAG